ATGACCCCTCCAAGCCCCCTCATGGCCCCCTCCAAACATTCCAAGGACTCCCCAAACCCCTCCAGGGACCGTCCAAACTCCCCCCAAACCCCAAGGGACCCCCCCCAAACATTCTAAGGACCCTCCAACCCTCGCCAGGGACCCCCCATTCTCTCTATTTAGGGGGCTCCCTTTTCTTTGTGCGTTGGTGTCCCTCGGTCCTCCCACATTCCCTCTCTATGCTCCCGCCCTGCCAGAGCGGCCCCTCCAGGGCGGCCCCTCCCCGGAAGTGGCCGCGGGGCGTTCAATGGCGGCCGCTCGCTGGGCCCTGGCGCTCGCCCGCGGGGCCGCCCCGGTGGCGCTGGGACTGATGTTCTGGGTGGCGATGGCCGGGGGCGAGCAGGACCGCCTGGACAGCCTCAAGGTACCGCCGACGGCTCCTCGGGACCCCCGTGGAGGGCGGGAGACCGCCGTGACCCCTTTTGTGTCCCCCTTTCCAGGCCCTTCCCGAGGCGAAACCGGAGGTTTTGTCGGAGCGGCGCCGCCACAACGAGCTGATCATGGCGGCTCTGCGGGAGGCGGCTGAGACCGACGAGAACGTGGCGCGGCGGCCCGTGCCCTGGCGGAAGTGACGTCAGCACCGGGAGACCCACCTCTCACCCCTTCTCCCCCAACTCCCAGTAACGACCCCCGGTAACTCCCAGGCGGAACCGTCAGTGCGGGGCGCGGTTTAGCTGACTTGGTGCTACAACGCACGGACTCATTTCACGTCGCATTCTTCCGGCGCTGCCGCGTCCCCCTCACGGGGAGGCCTCACCGCGCGCGGGGTCAGCGCCGGTTCCTGGCGCCGTTCAGGCCCCGCTGCGGCGGGAGTGACGTCAGCACCGGGAGGCCTTCGGTAACGACCCCTCCCTTAAACCGTCCGTTAACCCCCCCCCGTTAATCAGGCGGAACCTTCGCGGCGAGACGCGGTCGCTACACGGACCCCATTTAGCGGGTGACCGCCGCTACACGGACCCCATTTAGCGGCGCGCGCTTCCGGCGCCTCTTCCGGCGCCGCCATGTCACGCCCCGGGGAGGTCTCGCCCGGGTCGGGGCCGGCGCAGCCGCGGCAGCCGCTGTTCGGGGGCTGCCTGAGCTGCCGCTTCGTGTGCGGCGCGGGGCTGCTCCTGGCGGCGACGTGGCTCTACCAGGGCCCGCGGAACAGCATGAGGAGGGGGATCCCGCCCTCCATGGGCACCATCGCTCAGCTCACCTTCGCCTTCAGTGAG